GGGGGGGCGCCGGCCGGGGTTCCCGGGCCCCTGCTCCTCCCCCACCGTGACCTAGATCTGCGGGTGCCCCCACACCTGGGGTCAGCACCGTGGAACCCCCGACTGGATTCTCCCGCACCAGAGAGACAGAGCTGGGCTGCTCCAGCCCTTTAGGGGAGAAGGGGGAAAGTCCCCAACCTCTGAACTACACCTGCACAGGCAGCCGGGGGGCTCTTGGGGCGCGATACTCCTGGATCTTCCAGCGCCGTGACCTAGATCTGCGGGTGCCCCCACACCTGGGGTCAGCACCGTGGAACCCCCGACTGGATTCTCCCGCACCAGAGAGACAGAGCTGGGCTGCTCCAGCCCTTTAGGGGAGAAGGGGGAAAGTCCCCAACCTCTGAACTACACCTGCACAGGCAGCCGGGGGGCTCTTGGGGCGCGATACTCCTGGATCTTCCAGCGACGCTGGGAAATTGTTACTGCGCTCTCCTGAGAAGACAGGCCGGCTCTGACTTAGCGGCACCCCCTGCTAGCTGGCTGCCGAGGATTCATACCGCAGAGGCAACCAGGGCAGCCGCGCTACAGTGCGGCTCGTTCCCCCTGCTGTTTGAGCCAACCGGGCCCCCGCTGCTGAATCCGCCTGCGCCGGCCTCTGTGCGGCATGTGCCGTGCAGGGAGGTGCTTGCGACAGTGAAGAAGGCTCAGGCTTGGCCGAGACGCAGCGACCCCGCTTCCTGCAAGCCACAGGGATGCTGGGAGCCGAGAGTCACTGGTGGGCAACACTCAAACCTGGGTCCTGGGGGCACAGGGTTCCACGTCTTAGCTGGAACTCTGAAGCCAGCCACGCTGGCCACCCAGCTGACTGTGGGTGGATTAGGCAGGGACGGGACAGAGGAACAGGATCATCCCCCCCCCTGATCCCATTGTGGATAAAGCCCCGTCGGTAGCGGGCTGGTTTCAGGTGGGGGTACTCCTCCGTGCTGGTGACTCTGATGGCCCAAACCTGCTTCCACGCTTCGTATAGCTGCACGTGGACAGGGTACACGCCGGAGTGGTGGGGCGCCACGGCGTACCCCATGTCGGTGGGGATGCCATGCTCCTGATGAGGGGAGGAGCGGGAAGGTGAGTGCGCTAAGCTACAGGACGCATGAGCTACAAACGACCTAGCGGGAACCCAATGGGGCCCAGCGGAGCTACAAGCTAGATCCCTCCTTGGGTGAGCTGGGACGAGGGGGCAGAATTCTCAACTCCAGCCCACGCCCCGGCGAGCTCCTTGCCTTGCCTACAGTGGTGGAGAGGAAGAGCAACCAAGGGAGCTGGACACGCTGCACCGTCCGACAATACTCCACCCTGCCAGGGCAACTCAGGCGTGCCCTGCTTCTCCTGGCTGCCAGCCGGGCCGCACGGAGATCAGGATCCCCCAGGCTGCGGCCACCCAGGCATCACAGTCACGCTCCAAGCAGGGCTGGTGCAACAACCCCCACAGAACACTGTGCTTAGCGCGGCCAATATCCTCCCCTGTCCGCTGGGGCTGGGAAGACCATCATCCTCCCAACCCCCCCAGCTTTTCCAGCAATTCTACAGCCCTGCTGCCTCCTCTCAGGAGCCAAGAAGCGCAGAGAGGAAAAATGAGCGTTATGTGAAATTCTGAAAAATTCCCCAGAACAGTCTCAGCCTGGTTTTGGCACAAGGGTCCGTTTGGGATCAACTGGGGATAAGAGTAGTTACCTTATCAGAGCCAGTGTGGCCAGCCTTAGCTCAGATCCAGAACACCAGCAGCAAAAAGGCCAGCGGGTTAGCACAACGAGCCGTCCGAGACTTTAGAACCCTTTGGGGACGGGGGCAGAGTTCCCTGTAAGCCAGGTGCTTGTGCAGCCTCTCGGGAGAGATTCAAATGCTGCCCAGCTGATTAGCAGAGCGGCCACAGTTGGGATTTCTGTTTCTACTGGTGGTGCACATGCCTTGGTGCACACAAAACATTATTCCACACATGGATGGAAAAAGTCCTTGGCCTCTGTTTGTCAGAGGCTGGAGAGGGATGGCAGGAGACAAATCGCTTGATCATTGTCTTCGGTCCACCCTCTCTGGGGCACCTGGTGCTGGCCACTGTCGGCAGACAGGATACTGGGCTAGATGGACCTTTGGTCTGACCCAGTACGGCCGTTCTTATGTAAGTCCACATGTGGATGGAAAAGATTAGAGGGAACACTGGCCAGTGGGGGTGTGTATTAACTCCCCACCTAAAATGTTCTTTATCCTCACCACATGCTGCCCCCACCAACACAAAAAGGTGGGGAAGCTCTTTCCAAACCCAGAACACAGGCACTAGCGGACTGGGTCAGACCCATGGTCCATCCAGCCCAGTGTTTCTTAAACTTTTTAAGACCGAGGAACACCAAACAATTTTTTTTTAAATGAGGAACATTGAGGATTTTTTGTTGAGAAAAAAAAAAAAAAGGGGGGGGGGGGGGGGGGAAGTTGTTGGGAAAAAAAGGGTCAAGGGAAAGTTATTGAGGAAAAAAGCATTGGGGGAAGTTATTAAGCAAAAAAAAAAAAAAAAACTGCCCCTTTAAGGGCTGCCATTTTTAATTCTGTTGTTCTCCGTGGCACACCGGTGTGCCACAGAACACAGTGTAAGAAACACTGATCTAGCCAGTCTCTGACAGTGGCCCCCATGCCAGATGCTCCACAGAGAGGTACAGATTCCCATCGCCAGTCTGGCTCTCGCTGGCTCCCCCATAGGCTTCAACTCAAGCTGCCGACCCAACGCAAAAGCCGACTTGCCATGTCTTCCCCGCTATCTGAGCCGAGTTAGCATACTCCTGGCTGCACAGGTGTGGCTGGCTGGGGCCCTGAAACCGGAGGATGTACAGACAGGCTTTCCCCAGCTCACAGCACCTCGGGGATCTTACTATTCACGGAACCAGAGGAATTAGCTTTTTAATTCTGCTAGCCTCTGCAGATGGCTGCTAGGCTGAATTAATGAGCACCAGGCAAAGCCTGGCGAAGGCCTGGCAGGTCGAGATAAACACCCATCTCCCCCATGGCAGGTCAAGGCAACGACTAATTTGCCAGACACTATAATCTGCCTGGGCTTGTACCTAGGGCACGTTCCCACAAGGGAATCCTGTGCGTCCTCCCGCCTAGGGAAGGCAAGACCTGTAGCTGTATCTACAGTCGGCTTTCCACAGGGAGGTAACCAGTTCACGGGACACGAGGGATGTGGAAGTGTAACTGCACACGGTCACACGCAGGCTCCCGGCATGTGCAGGGAGCCGACTCCCTGGTTACGCATTTACCAAATTCACCACATTTTAACATCCCTACTGGACTTGTCCGACATGCTGGATTAGCAACTCTGGACACTCCTCACGCATTTCTCCCAAGCAATCCAGCACCAGAGTCTGTAGTCTGGGACCAGGGCAGCCTTTGCCAACGTGGTAATGAGCTCCAGTTCATCAGCCATCCACTAACTCCAATTAAAACTGGAGTGAAGTTAAAACTCACACAGTTAACCTGTGGAACTCCTTGCCAGAGGATGTTGTGAAGACTAAGACTTTAACAGGGCTAGATAGATTCACGGAGGTTGGGTCCATCAATGTCAGGATGGGTAAGAATGGTGTCCCTAGCCTTTGTTTGTCTGGAAATAGGTGACAGGGAAGGGATCACATGAGGATTACCTGCTGAGTTTGCTCCCTCTGGGGCACCTGGCATTGGCCATTATCGGCAGACAGGACACAGGACTAGATGGACCTTTGGTCTGACCCAGTCTAACCGTTCTTATGAAGCCAAGCTCTTTGCCTTCGCCCGGGCCAGGGCCATATTTAAAATTGAGATCAACCAACCTCTCTTACTCAGGGGTGGGAAAATGTTCCGCTTTGTGTGATGCGGTTAGATCAACCGGACTCCCGCTGCAGACACAGCCAGGGCGAGGGAAGAATTCTGCCCTCCACCTCGCGGCTGCCTTGGGGGGGGATTTACTGCAGGGATGGAAAAGCCATAGTGCACCTGCACTAGTGGCACCAGAGCACCGCAGCTGCACCATGGTAGTGCGCGTTGTGCACACACAGCCGGGGCCTGCACACGGGCTTGGACCAGAGTCATTACTTCAGATGGGCGAGGGTGATTTTTTAAAGTGCAATGCACTTGAACCTCCATAATCCGGTGCCCCTGATCCGGGAACACTTGGGGTTCGGACCCTGGCAGGGGGAGAAGGAGGCGGCTCTGTGCACTGCTGCCCCCCCTCGCCCCTGTAGAAGCTTTTCCCTGCCGCTCCCATAGCGGCCGGGGTGGTGCCTGGGAGCAGTACAGAGCCACATGTGTCTCTGGGAGCAGGACACCAGGTAAGCACCCACCCTCATCCCGCCCACCTCCATCACTCCCCCTCCCTCCTTCCCACATCCCCAGCGTACTCCTGCACCGTCCCTCCCCTCCAAACCCCACTCCCTTACTCCCCTTCATCATGGCAAACCCTCGTGGTTTGGAAAATTCCATAATCCGACAAAGCATTTCCCAAGAGGTTCATGTGTCGTTACACTGTGCAGTCACTACTGTAGAGGCTGTTCTGCCAGTAGAAAGGGGTTTATACTACCAGGTAGTATGGATTATTCCCTGGAAATCAGCTCTACTGGTACAAGGCACTTTTGCATCCACCCCGGGACAGGAGCCGTGCAGGTGTAACTATCTTGGGCTGGAGAGAGTAGTACAACTTGTGTGCAGATGAGTCCTGGATCTCAAGTAAGCACCCGCGGAACTGCCTGCCATGGGATAGCTAGGTAAGGGGTTAAAAAACTCCTTCGGTTTTCAGTTTGCCGCCTTTGGACAGGCCATGCCTTGCTCTGGTGAGAAAAAGGCTCAACAGAAACAGAGGGTCAGCCTTCTCAACGCCACTCATGTTATGCCCCTCAGATCATTTTGTCTTTGACCTGATAGTTTTAATCTCCCCGGCTGCCGCTCAGCCTCCAACGCAGGTGCAGACAGATAGAGACGAACACGGGAACCTGTCTTAGGCCAAGTCTATGCTAGCGGAGAAGGTCAAATCAAGATACGCAACTCCAGCTATGCTAATTACATAGCTGGAGTCGAGGAACCTTGATTCGAGTTTTCCCACCGTCCTCACAGCGGAAGGCCGAAGCAAATGTTCTCATCGGCTTCCTTTACTCTTCACAGGAGCAGGAGTATTGACAGGGGCGCCTTTTGAGTTTGATTAAGCAGGTCTTAACTAGACCCGCTAAATCAAACTCCAGAAGATCGATCAGGGCAGCAGATGACTGTCATATCTCCTACTGCTCTTATGCAATGTTCTTCCCCTTACAAACAGAAATCGTTACCACATCCCCCAGGAACAAGCCTGAGAAGACAGGAGGAGAGCAAGAGACCTGGGAGTCTGAGATGTCACCGTTAAGTCCCCAGCCCAGCAAGCATCCCCCATGGCTAGAGAGCCCCATGCCTGGCATCTTACTCACGACAGCGAATTTCTTGTTCATGGTCATTTGCTCGGCAAGCACCGACTGGTTGTGGAAGAGGTGAGGCTGCATGTGACTCCACATGTGGGGGAACCACCAGAACTCCTTGACGTAAGACAGCAACAGGTCGTCTCCTTCGTCTTCAGCATCCGTGCCTGCAGGGGACAAACCTAGGTCAGCAGCCCCGCCACGACAAAGCCAACGCACTGGTGTCTGGCTCACGTGAGAGCCTGAATGCCCTGCTCAGGGTGGGTATGGATCGCAAAGGGCAGGGCTCTCCGACTCCCACCCTGAAAGCAGTGAAAAGCTAACATAAGAATGGCCAGACTGGGTCAGACCAAAGGTCCATCTCGCCCAGTGTCCTGTCTGCCGACAGTGGCCAATGCCAGATGCTCCAGAGGCAGTGAACAGAAACAGGGAATCATCAACTGATCCTTCTCCTGTCATCCATTGCCAGCCTCTGACAAACACCATTCCTACCCATCTTGGCTAATAAGTATTGATGGACCTGTTCTCCATGAATATATCACGCTCTTTTTGAACCCTGTTAAAGTCCCGGTCTTCACATCCTCTGGCAAGGAGTTCCACAGGTTGACTGTGTGCTGTGTGAAGAAAGACTTCCTTTTGTTTGTTTCAAACCTGCTACCCAATAATTTCATTTGGTGACCCCTACGTCTTACGTTTTGGGAACAAGTAAATAGTTTTTCCTTATTCACTTTCTCCACATCAGTCAGGATTTTATAGACTTCTATCCGGGAGACCAGGACCTTACACTGCCCTCCATGAGCTCTCTGCTGCTGCTCGGATTCCCAGATGGCCACTAGAAAGCTGCAGCCGTGTGCGAACCCCCCAGCACACTTACAATTCTGGAGTGGATCATTATCTTTACAGTGACCGCAGATGCATGTGGTGCTTAGCAGCCTTTGCTTGCCCTGCCTCTAGGAGAGCAGAGAGAAATCTGGCTTCTCGGTAGCTCGGAAGCCATTTAATCCAGGTCGTGAGCCCCGCCTGGATGACGGCATAAATCCCTAGAGAAGAGTCCGAATCCTCAGCCCCCGAGAGGGAGCAGCCTCCTATTGGTGCACGACTGGAGATGGCACGTTGTGAACAGGCGAGAGTGTCTATTGACGCGTTTAGGTGTCACGTTCCCCTTCCCCGGGAAGCGCGTAACCTGGCATCGCCGCCCACTGCCCGGGGGAGCTGGCCAACTGCCGCTGAATGGGCTGGCTCACACAGCTCGTCACCTCAGCAGGGCACGGGGTGGCGCGTGGACGGCAACAGCCAGAGCCCAGCAGGTACAACCTGACTTCCAGCCCCGACGCTGGCCAAGGTACTGGCTCTCTCTCCGCCTGTATAGCGGGAAGGGCAGCTGGCGACAGTAGCTTGGTGGAGGACAAATATACAGGCAACTGGGTGTAGCGTTTTCTGTTCCCGGAGTGAACCGGCCAGGCCCCGCTGCCACTCAATCAAGGCAGACAGGCACCTGGGGCCCATTAAGAGCTCACCTGAAGCAGCAGATTAATCAGGGCCCCTGCAGCCAATTAAGGCCTGGCAGGGCCAGTTTTAAAGGCTTTCCCTCCGGAAGGGCACAGAGAAGGCCAAGGACTGAGAGGGAGGAGGTGCCCTGAGAGAGCGAGGGTCTGGGAGTGGGGCAGAGGGCTGGGGAGGAGCCGGAAGGATCTTTCAGGGACCAGGGAGACGATACTGGGAGGGATCGTTTGGGAGAAGCAGCCCCGGGAAAGGCGGCCAGACGGGAAGTGGAGGAAACGCTGACAGCTATCGCTGCCTTAAGGTCCCTGGGCCGAAACCCGGAGTAGCGGGTGGGCCTGGACTCCCCCCACCCTTCCGGGGAGGGCAGGACTACGGAGGGGTGTCACCCCAGACTGTGGAGGGCGGCTGAGTAGGCTGTGACCCCTGCCTCTAGTAAAGGGCAAGGGGCTGTGCTGTGGGTCACCGCAAGCCTCTGAGGCAAACCCAAACCGCCAGGACCCACAGGACCCTCGGGGCATGGCCAACACTTTGCCACAGGAGGGAAAGCGCTTTGCAGGGTGACGCAAGGCTAGAGCTAGGGACTCTTACTGGCCAAACCCTGCAAACGCCTTTGCCGGCTAATGTGTGCGGTTGCGCTCAGTTGGTTTTCCAGAGCTTTCCCCATCTTCCAAGCCCCTGCCATGACAACACCACAGAGGCCTGGCTCGTGCAGGCAGAAAGTGCCCTGGGAAGGGGTGTTGTCACTCACGACACTTCCACAGCCGCCCTCTCCGCTGTGCCAGAAGCCCAGGGGCGGGGTGGATGGAGAGGGACGGCGAGGGTCTCTGGAGGTGAAACCGCCCTGCCTCACCTGTGTGGAAGAATTTCCCTGAGTATCCGAGGTTGAAGGTGAAGTTGGGGATGTGGGTGCGCAGCTCGTTCTGCGTGTCAAACAGAGCCTAAGGCATGGAGAGACGTTAATCAGTACCGGACACACGGCATCGTGCGGGAACCTGCCCCTGTGGTGCAGCCGTGCGGTGGGCCTGGCAGTCACGTGTGCGATGGCTGCTTGGTTACTCTCGCCACAGCACTCCCACCCCCCGCAGATGCTCAGAGGGCACCAGATCCTACACATCGCCTCACGAGGGCCACAGATAATGCACCAGCATCCTAGAAACACCCCAGTCCTAGCTCTGGGCACAATGGGCTCCATGCACCAGTGTCCAAGACACATCCCCCGACTTTGCTCTGTGCACAATGGGCTCCATGCACCAGTGTCCCAGACACCCCCAGCCCTTGCTCTGTGCATCTGTGTCCTGGTCACACTCACCCACCTCTGGCCATGGCTCCATGCACCAGCGTCCCAAACACCCACCCCACCCCAGACCTTGCTCCATGCACCAGTGTCCAAGACACGCCCCCAGACTTTGCTCTGAGCAGACTGGGCTCCGTGCAAGTGTCCCAGACGCACCCCTCGCCTTTGATCCGTGCACAATAGGATTTGTGCACCAGTGTCCCAACCACGACCCCAGGTCTTGCTCCATGCACCAGTGTCCCAGACCCCCCGGCCCTGGCTCCATTCACCATGGGCTCTTTGCCCTAGACACACACCCTTGGCCCTTGCTCTGTGCCCCAGTGTCCCAGACACCCTTGGCCCCTGCTCCAGGCACAGTGGTAACATCAGGGTCGCCTCCCCCAAGAGCCCCGGCCGGCTGAGCGGTGCCCTTTGCGGTACCTTTACGTCTTCCACCTTCATGCGAGTGCCCTCCTTGCCCACGAAGATGTCGTCGATGTCCACCAGGAGGTAGCGGTCCAGGGGCAGGGAGAGCCTCTTGCCGGTCAGGAAGGAGACGGCGTCCACGAAGACCAGCTTGTGCAGCCAGAAGCTGAGGTTGTTCCCGAAGAGCACGCGCTGGATGCCGTCGTGCAGGCCCAGGTCCTGCACCACGGTGGTGTGCAGCGCGGCATCCACGCTCAGGTGCGGGATGGACTCGGCCGACTTGGTCTTGGCCAGGAGGACCGGCTCGTAGGTGGAGTGGTTGGACTGGAAGACGGTCCAGTCCTCCCCCGGCAGCAGGCCCTTCTCCACCTCGCTGGGGCGCCAAGCTGTTCTCGTTGGCCTGCCGGGGGAGAGCCCGCAGCGCGAATGAGCAAGGCCTCCGAGGGAGGGAGGCTGTTGCCCCCACACGCTGCCCCATCATCTACTGACATTTATGCTTCTCTCTCGTGCAGGGCGGTTAGGACGGAGGATCCTGTCATAGGCTAAAAGGAGCCTGCTGGCTCACGTCACACACACGGAGCTGGCTGTTCTCGTTGGCCTGCCGGGGGAGAGCCCGCAGCGCGAATGAGCAAGGCCTCCGAGGGAGGGAGGCTGTTGCCCCCACACGCTGCCCCATCATCTACTGACATTTATGCTTCTCTCTCGTGCAGGGCGGTTAGGACGGAGGATCCTGTCATAGGCTAAAAGGAGCCTGCTGGCTCACGTCACACACACGGAGCTGCCGACAATTAGAAAGGCCGGGGGGAGGGGGGGAGGAAGCAGAGCCATGGGACAAGGCGGTTG